TTCTGGCTCCTGGCACCTCAACAGGCATGCATGGAAGCTGTACAAGCAATGCACAAGTGGATGGAGCTCCATCACAGCACAGCAGCCTACACTGCCGTGCGTTCCGTTGCAGTGTAACTTGGGTTGCAACTTAATGACCGAGGAGAAATGTGGGTCCAGAGGTTACACATGTTGAGAACCACTGGTCTAAAAGGAACCACTCACTTATCCTATCCGAGCCTTCGTAGACTCAAAAAGAAACTTCACTCTATGGGACTAGTAGACGCTTGGAGGGTTCATCACCCCACTGTAAAGGACTTTTCGTTCTACTCCTCTGTCCATCAATCATACTCCCGAATAGACGTTCTTTTGGTATCACAAGCTCTACTTCCTCTTGCTAAAATTATCTTCCAAAGAGACCTTGGCCCTCTCGGACCACGCTCCGATATCCCTCAACCTATCCTTGAGCCCCGACAACTCTCGATCCTGGTCCTGGAGGCTTAATGAATCAGTCCTACAAGAGGGTCCTATTTTAGATGACATCACAAAGCAAGTTAATCTTTCAAGAAAATGAGAGTCCGGACATTTCTCCACTGACGGTGGGGGAAACGCATAAATGTGTCCTTCGGAGGTTCCTTATCCAGAAGGGCTCGGAACAGAAAAAAGCTTTTGCCTCTAAATCAAATGACTTGCTGAGACAGATAAGAGAACTAGAGACTTTGCATAAGAAGTCTCTTGCTTGCTCCCTTTTAACTTCCCTACGGATGCAATTACTAGACTTGTCCCATAGCCGGGTTACCTCCGGGTTGACTAAATTTTGACATGTCTTTTATGAATATGGCAATAAACCAGGGAAATTGCTAGCAAGGTTACCCAGAGAAAAGACACTTAAATCCTTTATACCTCAGGTTAAGTGATGGCCGTAAAAGCGTCCGTCGGCTATTGCTTCCTCATTTCGAGACTTCTATGCGGCTCTCTACAACCTACGTAAGACCCCCTCATACTGCGGGGTCGGCCGCAAATCTAGACCGCATTTTGGAATACCAGAAAGCTTCAGGAGATCCCCCAAATCTCTGCTGACGCTGCCGACAGATTAGACGCGCCCATACAGGAATTGGAATTCCTGGCCGCAGTTAAAGCCCTGAAACCAGGCAACGCTGCGGGGCCTGATGGCAATACCCTGCCAGATACTAGAAGACCTTTGCCCCTATCTTGGCCTCAAATTTCACGCAAGCTTTCAACTCCATCAGAGATGGACTCCCCCTGCCGCAGGACACTTTAAGGGCCCTCATAACAATGATTCCCAAGGACGGAAAAGACTTGACTTCCTGTTCCAATTATCATCCTATATCCCTTCTGAATTTGGATCTAAAGCTGTTCACTAAAATTCTCTCTTAAACTTCTCCGGATACCATCATCCACGATTCAGTGACCAAGCTGGTTTTATGCCAGGTAGAAAAGCTAGGGTCCTCGACACCATCCATCTAGCCAAAAGACGTTCTATTCAATTAGGCCTACTGACCACTGATACAGAGAAAACTTTTGACTGGTGCATTGGTCCTTTTTGAAGACTATAATGAGTTATGTGGGGCTGGGCCCTTTCATGCAGCTCTGGTTACAATCATTATATTCCACACCCTCTACAGCAGTGAGAGCGAATTAATCTATCTCCTTTTATTTTTCTTTATCCAATGGCACCCGACAGGGCTGTCCGCTCTCCCCATTACTCTTCATCCTTTCTCATATTCAAAAAAACTGTGACATCAAGGGTATAGCAAATGGAGACACCACTCATAAGGTTGCGGCCTTTGCCAACGACCTGTTTTTTTGTCACCTCTCCTGAGACCACAATCACAAATCTACTCAAAATACTGTACCAATTTGGAGATCTTCCCAATTTTAAAATCAACAATTTCCATAAATCTGCTATGCTCCATGCATCCATACCCCTGCACCCAACATGTCCACCCACTGCCCATTCCCTTGGGTATCAGACTATATCCAGTATTTGGGGGTCAAGATTATGTCTAACTTAGAATGCAGTCTTGAAAATGACTACTTCCTAAATTTTTATATCTGTTCCAAACACTTCCCATACACATCCCAAACCCTTTCCTCCAGACAATTCGAAGGGAATTTTTAAGCTTTTTATGGTCTCCTTCCCGCCTGCGTCTCTCCTACCAATCTCTACTGCTACCCAGAGAACATGGCGGTATAGCTTTTTCAGATCCCAGTCTCTATTATAAGGTGTCCCACTTGGCAAGGATTGTCTCCTGGTGTAGAGACGCCTAGTATAAACCCTGGATACTTGCCAGGACTACTGAGCCCACAGAATGTCTCCAGTTTTGGATCATCCTGCTTGCCCTCTGAGTAAAGGAGATGGTCACTAAGAAATTGAGAGACAGGGGGAAATGCAGATTGGATGCTTTTTTGATCAATGGCCGTATATGCTCCCGAGATGAACTAGCCACGCTTATTGAACCCCCTTGGATCCCTGGAGATCGCTGCAACTGCGCCACTTTCTAGTGAGCATGGTCCCTGGGACCACATCCATCACGCGGCTTACGCAGTTTGACCATTTATGTCTTGAGAAGTCTCCCCCTAGTCATTCCCTATCCAGGGTATACAAACTACTCATAACTACCGCTGACTCATATGTGCCTCCATTTATTCTTAAAATTGGAACAAGACCCGCAGCTATCTCCATCGATGGAACAACGGGCAGACACCCTAAATTTCTCTCACAAAGCCTCCATTGCTTGTAAAACACAAGAAGCCAACTACATGCTTCTTACACGCTGGTATAGTGTTCCCTCCATTTTACATAAGATCTGGCCACACACTTTCAATCAATGCTGGCATTGTAATGAGGAGGGCTCTTTGATACATATGTTCTGGTCCTGTCCATGCGTGGGAAAGTTCTGGGCAGATGTACAAGTTATATGCAAGAAACTGACTGGGATTGATCTTCAGAATGAACTGGCTGCTATCCTTCTCCACTTGTCTGCCCTCTCACTGAACAGGTATAAAATATCCATGTTGATACACCATCTAAATGCTGCTAAAATGTGCATCCCCCTGCTTAAGAAAACGACCACTGCTCCCACCATTGCAATGTGGATCTCAAAAGTACGGGAAACTGAGAAAATGGAATGCATGAGAGCTTCTTCACACCACCAGGAAGCTAAATTCAATAGAAGATGGTTCTATTGGCACATATACCTCCTCTCATCAGAGTCTCCCATGGCGCCATTGTGTTGCATTTAGGCTCCGCCAATCGCATATACACTGCTCTCACCTACCCTACGGATGGATGGCCTTTCCTCCCCCTCTCCCCCCTTTTTTGTACCTACTGTTTGCCCCCCTCCCCACCCCCTGCTCTTGCCCCTCTGCGCTGACTCCACCTTTTTTCTACAAACTTCTTAATGTTCTTTGGAAACGTTAAGCTGCTAATTTTTGTGCTTTCCAAGACACCAGAGACAGAAAAAATTCACTTGTTTAGCAGGAGTGGTTAACCTCCCTGTTCTATATGCCTTCTTTCCACCTGAGATGAATGTATTATTAATTGTCAAAACCATTGGCAGCTCTGTTCTTTATTTTTGTCCTTTTATTTGACTATAATCCTGATGTTACACTGTTCTTACAGATGTTGTACTTCTTCTACTTGTGATTAACCACTTGAAGACCGGGGTGTTAAACCCCCTTCCTGGCCAGGCCATTTTTCAGTGCTGCGGTACTTTGGCTGACGTTTATTCCGTCATGCAACGCTGTACTGAAATGAATTTTATACCATTTTTTGGGGACAGATAGAGCTTTCTTTTGGTGGTATTTAATCACCGCTGGGGTTTTTATTTTTTACTATATAAACAAAAAAAGTACCCTAAATTTTGTAAAAAAAAAACATGTTTCCCTATAAAAAATTTTGGTATAATATAAAAGACGGGGTCAAGTCGGGTAAATAGACACTAAATATGTCAACCTCTAAAATTGTGCGTGTCCACGAAATTGCAGAAAACGACCGCAACCAAAATTGGCCATAGGCGACACTTTAAACGTTTTTACCGCTCATCAGTTTAGTGTTATCAGTGATTGATGGCCCTAAAATTATTGCTCTCACTCCGACGTTCGCGGCGATATGTAACGTGCTGCATAATAGGCGCAATCGTCGTTTTCGTACACAGGCGCACCCGACGCATGTTTGCATGTGTATGTGGGGGGGGGCGGGGCACTTTAAAACATTTTGTATCTAATTTTTTTAAATGATTATTTGTGAATATTTTTTTTAGCTTATTTTTTTTTTAATGCTGTAATTTTTTTTTATTTTTTTTTACTTTTTTTAGACAACTTTATTGCTATAACATAGGGGATTAAGAAATCCCCTATGTAATAGCCAGTTCACCAAACAGGTCCTCTTTATGGAGACATCAGGGGTCTCCAAGACCTCTGATGTCACCTAGGGACCCCCACAGAAGCTGATGAAGCAGAGATCTGCTTCATCAGCTTCTCTCCGGTGTTCTGCACCGGAGAGAAACACTGAATGCAGGAAGTGATATAATATACATCACTTCCTGCATTCGGGGATAGGAAGAGAGATCAAAGGGAAATCGAGTAATGATCTCCCTTTGATCTGCTGTTAGAGCGACCGTTAGTGGCGACGAGGAGACGGCGGGACAGAGGTACGGGGGGGTGGGGAGGCCGCACACCCGCAGCTCCTGCAAGCGATCGGGCGTCTCTAGAGACGCCTGATTGCTTGTATGTAAACAGCCATCGCTGGCTGTTTACATGCTCACAGTTTTCGCTCTCGTGTGCGCGCTGAGTGCCGCACACGAGAGGGGGGAGGGGTAGGACGTCTTAAGACGCCCTCCCGCTCCTAGCAGACGTCCGTCCAGCCGTTCACAAACGGCCATGGACGGAAGGTAGTTAAAGAATTAAAAAGAAAAAGAAAAGGATTTATCCAATACAGCGTTATATATCAAATCTCAAATGTGTTTTTTTTTCTCTGCTTCAGTATGTCCCTTTACCTGTTTCAGCTGTAGAGCAGGAAAATACATCTGAGTAGGGCTAATACTGTTGTAAGGTACAAGGTGGCAGAACTTTGCAAGCTTTTTTGCACTGGGCATCCATACCTAAAATAGAAAGAGCTGTGTTAACCAGATTCTGATAACATACTTCCACAAATGTTCTTTCATGTAAGCTTATCAATATTACTTTAAAGAAGAACTTCGGGCAACACTTTTATTAAGCCTTGAAGTGGGGGTAGCCCCACACTGCAAGGGTTATCAGCTCGTTTTTGACTAGGTGCCAAACTGTGGGGAAAAAAACAAACCCACAGCAGTTAAGGTGCCCATACACTGCACGATTCTTGTATGAGAAACGCGGGAAATCCCGCGATTGTACGAGAATCGTGCAGTGTATGGAAGGCGTGCGACCTTTTCTAATGTAGGTCGCACGACTTTTGTATATCGAGCATGTTGGAAAACCAGTCGAAAATCGTACGATTTTTGGCTGGTTTTTAACATGATCGAGAGATCACTGCCGAACGGGCCAGTGTGCGCACGCGCACACTGCCCGTTCAGCATTGCAGTCATCGGAAGCCCGCCCCTCGGGGGAGCGGGCTTGCGATGATCGCAAGTACGATCTGCCTGTCCAAGAGGGGCAGATCATACGTTTTTTTTTTTATTACTTTACAACCATCGCAAGACAAAGGTCTTGCGAGGGTTGTAGAGTGTATGGGCACCTTTAGGTAGCTATAGAACATCTATTCTATGAATCTTCATGGACAGCACAGGATAGAGAGGTTCTGCCCACCTAAAACAGGAAACATATCCATAATTAAGTAAAAGGGGTCGTCCCTCCTAACCACTTCAGTTATAAAATAGCATTGAGGCAGAAATATTGGCTAAAACACATAACTCTATATAATAAATACATTGACCAAGACAGGGCACACACCTAGGCGACAGCATTTTTAAGCGCATAAATCAAGTGGTGCATTTTTGCTAGCAAAATTATGAGCTCATTGATGTTAATGGGCAGACGCGCGTAAAACGTGCAAAAAGACAGCAAACGCGCATTTTCAAGCGTTTCCTATTGGAGTCTACGAGGCCAAAACGAGCTGTAATATGCAAAAAAATAAATAAAAATTAATGTACTTTTTCCAGGGAGAGGTGTTTTGCTTATTGCAACAAAACGCACAGATGTGAACAGGGCTATTGAAATGAATGTGATTTTTTTGGAGGGGGCATATTTTGTGAGCATTTTGTAGGGCAGAAAGCGCTCAGTGTGAACCAGGCCAAAGTATAGCTGCTGTCTTGTAAAATTAATGGAATAAGACTTCATCAGGTACCTGTTTTACCAATTAATCTTCTAGGACAGCACAGGAGACGATTAGGCTAGCATTACCTTGTAAAGGGGACAGGTGCTGAGAGCACTTTATTGCCAAATGCTTAGTCTTGGCACGACAGTAAAATCAACACTGTAGTAATTTACAAAGGTCTGAAAGCTCAACTATGTGGCTGCCATACAGATCTGGTCTGATGATTTCCCCAGCTTTCTCCGCCCAGGATGCAACCAAGGCCCTAGTAGAGTCTGCCATGATACCCTTAGGGGGTTTAGGTGAATAGTTTGAGAAGCCAAAGAGCTCATTTGACTTATCCATCCAGCTAGCTATAGTGTTCTTAGACGCTCTAAGGCCACTTTTTGGCACAAAGAAAAAAAACAAGCGCGTACCTATATAATGTAGCCAACACCTTCTTAAATCTAGAAAGAGAAATTGCTGTTCCTTTTCGTTAGAAGGGTTGGGACACAGTTTCACAGAACACGATATAAGTGTTCCTTTCTAACTTTGGGTAGTAACTAGAGGTGCACCGAAATGGAAATTTTAAAACCGAAATTAAAAAAAATGTCAGGCTGAAAACGATACCGAAAATGTTATTTTTTCATTTTTTACAAAATATTTTATGTTTAGATAAACTTTACATTTTTTTATATTTATTTTTATTTATTAATTCATTTTTT